GGCGCTAATTATCATGAAGCGTAATTTAACAGATTTAATTAATTATTATTGACTTACTAATTGAGCGGAAATTCGTGATGAGCTAATTATAGCAGTTAATTACGGTGTTAATTATTAGTAAGCATAAATTGGTAGATTTAACTAATGAGCTTACTAAATCAAGCGAAAATTTGTTAACTAATTATAACAGTAACCAGTCACGCTTAATCAACACATCAAAATTATTGCACACAAAAAAAACAAATAAACATTAGTCGTTATATTAGATGATTTTCGCAGTTAGTCATGAAGTTGTTTTGTTACGTTGTCCATGGCAGACACAATACGAATGCAACATTCACGATGCTCTCAGAATCTGAGACTCAGACCTGGCGATCACTTCCAATGACGCATGTGATATCACTGGTGGGAACCTTTTTCATTTTTTTCTCTTAATCGTAGCAGAGATTAGTCACAGATACCGGCAGATACGTGCGCAAAAGTCGTGTCGCAGATACCAGTGGCCTGTTTAAATTTGACGCTTTTTAATAATTACACAAGGTGAACCAAACAAAATGCCAATCCCGGATCCAGGGACAATTCACGGCAGCGTTCACCGTTGTTTATTTAGTTGCTTTACTTTGCTGAGAGCTGAACTCAGCCTGCTAAAGTTCGCTCTACTGGTCCTTGATATACAGTTTGTATTAGCCATTCCTAATGCTTTCGTTGCCGGCAGTGGAAGAAAAACTTCCATTCCGCTGACGCTGTGTAACTTTGTAAGATACTAAGATAAGCGTGCATTCAGGGTCATTTAGATAATACTGTTTTGTTTTTTATATGATCAGTAATTCAGTGAATACTGTATTGTTTTGTGACGCTGTCCACTATACTCAAGGTTAATAAAAACTTTACTTTAGATAATATTATCAAGTCCGCACCATCGACATGCCGCCCACAATACGGTACTATCGGGAGTCGCGCTCGGAGTCCCGCCAAATGAACTACGGCAACACGGTGCTGGTGCATCGCGGCAACGGGCAATGGTGGCTGGAATACGTTCAGGATATTGACGGCGATCACGTCTTCGTTGACTTCGATGCCAGTGCCATCAACGCGGAATGGATTCATTCTCAGCATCTGTGGCCGCATCATTGGATGTCGCATCACGGGATCTTTCTCCATCATCAATTATGACGTCCTGACTGTTCGGTGTATGCGGCGCTGCAAGACGTGGTTGGCGGGCCGTTCGTGTTCCGGTCGGCCACTTTGGTTGAGAAACTGAACTGCATGTTCTGCACTGTCAAGCTGGATCAGCCAAATCAAACCGCTTCCACGAAACGCCGCATCGTGCCTGAGCGCCAGTTAACCTCACAGCTGCCGGAATCGGCTGTAGAAGAAAGTTTTTTTGATAAACCCAGGGGACTGGTGTACCGTAAGCATGTCGTCGCTTTCGACAAGGCGCATTTGTTGCGTCATGTGAATTTTATGGCCGAATTTTTAGTCGGCGCTTGTCATGTTGTTCCTGGTCCTGGCGACCCGTGCAATAGTAGCTGTGGGCTGATGAGATTTGAGGAAACAGACTATCTGTTTGTTCGCTGTACGAATCATTGCACCGGAGCTTTCTATCAGTTCGAGGGCGGTTGTCGTGTGTTTGTGCGTGCCGGAATCGACGCGGTCACGTTCGTTTGCGCCGAAGTGCACAGCGACGCAGCAGGACGTAGCATGTTCTGGAACGAAGATTCCTTAAGGGAAGTGTGCGAAGTCTACCTTGCCGAGCAATTTTCAAGGGAATCTGCGCAAGCTGATAAGATTGCGGCCCTGACCTTAGCGGCGGGCCCTTCGCAGTGCGGTAAGTGCAACCGCCCGTCCGACCGTCTGCTTCTAAAATAATCTTGAGTGTAATACTAAGGTAGATCTCCCAACTAGGAACTGCAGCTGTGCTCCATATGCCACCTTTGCTACAACTGCCGCTAACGAGATATGCACCCGTATTTTGCAGACATGGAAGATATGTTGATCTTCGGACTTCCGGCTGCAGTTCTTGCCGATATTTCCCACATTATGGATGTCATTTCTCAGATACGGATGAGCCAGTACGTTAGCTGTATTTATTTCAATAATACTAAAAGTTTTTAATTATACCTATCGCGCTGCTAAAGGAGTGTGGGAAGCATAACCTATTGTAGTGATAATTAAACTCTTAATTATGCTGGGAATTAAGCATTATGATAAATGCAACTAAACTTAAGGCATTTTGATTATGCTGAGCATAATTAAAACTGCGCATTTTTAATTAAGCTTGAGCATAATTAAAATTCGTCCTTTTTAATTATACTTAAGCTTAATTATGAGTCAAATTATGGATAATATAAATAGCTTGATCAAAAGATACTGAATTTTAATTTTGATAAGCAAAATTATAATTGGACATTTTTAACTACTGTATGCTTCAGTTAAATTAAAATTGTTGAATTTTGATTATGCTGATCATAATAATTATTAAAATTGATCAGTTTTCAATTACGACAAGCTTAATCAAAATTATAAGCAAAATAATTATGATGAGTTTAATATTCACTGTCCTATTGACGCCAAGCGTAGGGCTTTCCTGCCATCTCTTTTTTGAATATTTTGCTGTGCGACTGCAACGACTACCATGGAAGGGAACTGGCGTGTGTGTTAAATTCACTGAATGCTCCTTTCGTCCCCAAGACTAGCTTTTGTTTGCAGGGTGTGTGCGTTGTGGAGGCTGCTTTCGGGTGACCACATCCGCCATCGCCACGTTATCTTTAGCATCCCTTCCCTGTTCCCCAGGGAAGACTGGCACGGCTGGATTAATTCTTCTCTGGATACAGTTGCCAGCTACAAACTCAAAGCGGTACTGGAACGAACCATTACCGAAAAAACTCGAGCTGTTGCCTTGGTGGACGAAAGAACGCCGGATGAGAGAAAGTTGAACAAAGGTCAAGTACGCTTCATAGCGAAAATGTGGGTGATTTACAATGTCCTAAAAGACAAGCGTGTCCGTGTGCCGCTGTGGGTTGTTAAGAATGGTACCGAGGTCGGCTCCTTCGATTACGGTTCCTTCTTGTACCTGCGAGTGAACGAGCGAAGCGGGGAGGCGGAATGCCGCACACTGTCACACTGGATGAACACGTGTGAGGCGCTCGTTCTCACCAACTACACCGCCTCGGATGAAACCCGGGACCGTTCTCTATTGACAGGATCATTATACAGTGCCAGATTGACATGGCCGGAAAGTGACCATGGGTTTCTGCGGGCGGAAAAGGAAGGCCGTCTGGATGTAGTTATTCCGTTTCTGCGCTTCCGCTGCACGGAGACAGCCACCGCGCAGTGTCAGCGCTTTATCTCGGCTGCCAGCGACAACTGCCCGACCGTTACGCAGCGGGTATTGAAGAAGATCACCGCGGTACATGCGCGATGGGTGCAGACGCTGGCCTATCCCGAACAATGGGCGGGGCTTCGCAGCTTTCTCCAGATGTTAGTAGCAGCTTTATGGGAAGTGGGCCGGTACATGGTACCAAATTCGTGTACAAGCACGAAAACTTTCACTTTCGCGCACTTCCAAGCGCATTTTTCTATTGTTTTATGTAGCCTGATGATTTGAATACACTGGCGTGAAAACCGTTTGTGCGCGCAACATTCGGTTCGGGAGTTATAGCTGTGTGAAAATTGCAAAAAGTTTAAATGCATTTAGGTGTACCAAAGGTCTCATAATGGACAGGGCTTCTTTAAATTTTGCACGTAAATACACATGACCATGAGGAACGTTTTTGCACCGATCCATTTTAAAATGGATTTCAAAAATTTTGAAATTCATTTTAAAATCTAAAAAAAATCATGGAAGGCTGGATCGGTGTGAAAACGATCTTCATGGTCATGTGTATTTACGAGCAAAATTTAAAGACCTGTCTATAATGAGACTTTTTTTGGTACACCTAAATGCGTTTAAAATTTTTGGAATTTTCATACAACTGTAACTCCCGGATTGGATGTTGCGCGCACAAACGGTTTTCACGCCAGTGTATACAAGTCATCCGGCTACAGAATGTCAGAAAAAACAACAGAAAACTGTGTTTGGGAGTGTGTGAAAGTGAAAGTTTTGACGCATGTAGACGAATTTGGTACCATGTACCGGGTCGAATCCCTTAAGCAAAGGGATATGCATTTCACAGATCCATTCCAATTTGCGGTTGATTTAGGTTTAACGGGTTTCTTGCCGATGGTAGTCCGCAGCGATGGGAACAGTTCGACTTGCGGCAGCTGGATGTGTCCAAACTGAGCAAGTTGACCTTCGCTGCGCTCGATGTACGATATATTACAAAGAATAATCCTTCCCATTCAAAAGCTTGAGGACAGAGAACGGAGAACGGCAATCAGTGTTTCGTATTTATTGTCAGGTCCTGAGCGTGTTTGGGGGCTTTTGGCTTGTTATTTTAACGTGTATTACAATAATCATCTTTTGGGCTGACTGTGCATGTGTAAAAACTGTACAATTCTTTACTGCTTAAAGTTTAGACGGCTAACGCAGCGGTAAGATGGAGCTTGACAGATATAAACTAAATTTAAATAATTGTGCGGGCGATGGGCAATCCAGTATGCCATGTATAATGGCTCAATGTATATTATAACTTATTGACTTTTGGATCGTAAACTTGCTTCAACGCTGAATATAGCGCTTGGAGTCGCGGTTTTACAGTCATCAGTCACTTATTACTTACCGGAGCCTGAGTACTTCTGGATAATTATTAATTAAGCCGTGTTTGATTACTTTTGCTCGGCTTTAGCGAAGTAAGACAGAGCATTTACGCACTGTTCGATTTAAGGTCCGTTGGAATACTATCCAGATTGCTTAACGTCAGCGGTTCCCAAAACTGATTTTGTCACGAAGTAAGAAATAAATAGTAATATTTATTTGGTACGCGCGCGCTGCTCTACTGACTAAATCTATCATCAACATCTCGCAGCATAACAGTCGTTGCTAGGTAAAAGGTCATGTATTACCGCACGGCATCACACCTCCCCCAGTGGGGAAACCCACTCAGAACAACAGATAAGTATCTACCAAAATTCGGATCTTCTATCAATCGTGGCGTTACTCTTTGGCCTGCGTTACTTCTGACAGTTTTACGCAGTTCCGGTTGCTCTTGTTTCGGAGGTGGTATTGCGCGCTTCTTCGGTGGTTTACTCGGCGGTAACGTCACCTCAGTGACGGTCGGTTCGACTGTCAGCTCCGTTTTCGGTGTCACCGCCGGTTGTTTGCTTGTGGCTGTTGCAGATTGCTCCGTCTGTTGCGTCGCGTCGGGAACCACGCTGCTGTCGCGGGGTGTGTTGTTTCCGGTATTCACTGGCGGTACAACCGTCGCGGGCACTGAGGAATTCGCCACCTGTCGCTCATCCGGCTGCAGCCAGTATCTCGGTCGGATCTGGTTCAGGTGCCTGCGCCAGATGGCGCCTTCAACGGACACTTCCCATATCCGGGTGCCTTCACGTCTGACCAGCCGGCCGCTGGTCCAGTCGACGGTTCGGTTGAGGCGGTAATCTCGAACCATTACCAAGTCACCAGGCAAAAAACTCTTCCGCTTGGTGCGTTTGTCGAAATTGTGCTGGTACCGTTGACGGTTTCTCTCCGTATGTGTGAACATGACAGGAGACAACAGGTCGAGTTGAGTACGGAACTTCCGCCCCAGGAACAACTCCGCCGGGGACTTTCCGGTTGTTGCATACGGCGCGCCACGGTATCTCCAGAGGAACTGCCGCAGTGCGTCGGACAGGTTCTTCCGGTCAGCCATGAGCTTTGCAACTCCGTCCTTGATGGTCTGGACATACCGCTCCGCCTGTCCATTCGATTGTGGGTGTCCCGGTGGTGTCCTGAGATGCTTTATCCCGTGTTCCGCACGAAAGTTTGCGAACTCCTGTGACGTAAATTGGGTACCGTTGTCCGTAACGATTTCGGTACAAGCGCCGTACCGACTGAACAGGTTGCGCAAGGTTTCCAACACGCCATCGGAGGTAGCGTGTTTCATTTGCGCCACTTCCGGCCATTTGGACATGGCATCGACCACCAGTAGCAGCATTGTGCCGTGATATGGACCGGCAAAATCCATGTGAAGCCTCATCCATGGGTTTTCGGGCACTTCCCACTGCAAAAGCGGTGCTTTGGCCGTTTCCTTAGCGCGTTCCGAGCAGATCCGGCACTCGCGAGACATCTGCTGGATGTCTTTATCCATCTGCGGCCACCAGCAATAGGCGCGTGCCTCGCCTTTCATCTTAACGGCTCCCATGTGCGCTTCATGCAGGTAGTCTAGTATCTGCCGACGCTGCTGGACCGGAATTACCGTACGCGATCCCCAACAGATGCAGTTGTTGATCAGCACCAATTCATTCTCCAGCCGTTTGTAGGGACGCAACCGCTCATTAACCGTGGTCGGCCATCCATGCAGGATGTAACCGTGGACCGTGGACAGATCCTGGTCATCGGCGGTTGCTTTGGCGATTTCTTCTGCTTTGACAGGCAAGCGTGATACGTTGTCTCCGTGCACATCATTCACCACTCTGTCCATCCCCAGCCCGCTCAGTCCATCCAGCTCGGTCGAATTGAGTGGCAGGCGGCTTAGACCATCGGCCTGTCCAAAATCCTCGGTGCGCCGGTACTCGATTTAGAACGAGTAGCCCATGAGCAGCAATGCCCATCGCTGGAGTCTGTTGGCAGTCACGACCGGAACTCCTTTGTTGCTTCCGAAGACACTCAGCAGCGGTTTGTGGTCCGTGCACAACGTGAATTCGCGACCAGCTATATACTGGTGGAATTTGCGGCAGCCGAAACCAGGGCGAGAGCCTCCTTCTCTATTTGCCCGTAGTTCTTCTCGGCTCCGGTGAGTGCCCTTGATGCGTGCGCAATCGGTCTTTCCGTGCCGTCCGGGAACCGATGGCACAGCACGGCGCCCACACCGTACTGCGAGGCGTCCGCTGCCAGAACGAGAGGCATTTCGGGATCGTAGTGCACCAAAAACGTTGCCCTTACTATCTCTTCTTTGATGGCCAGGAACTGTGACTCGCGCTCTTTCGACCATGACCACTGCACTCCCGTTTTCAGCAGCTGGTGAAACGGGCTACATTTGGTCGAAAGGTCACGCACGTACTGCCGTAGGGGTTAACCTGGCCGAGAAATGCACGTAACTGACTCACGTTGGCCGGGCGGTCCATGTCCAAGAGCGCTTTCACTCGGTCGCGTGAGATGTGCCGGCCTCGGCTGTCAACCACGAACCCGAGGTATTCTACTGAGTCCTGGAGGAACTGACACTTGGAGCGCTTCAGCCTGAGTTCGTGTTCCTCAAGGCGTTGTAGGACCCGCTCCAGGTTCCGGAGGTGCTCTTCATCAGTCGCTCCTGTGACGATGATGTCGTCCAGATAGATGGCGACGCCTTCGCACCCCTGGAGGATCCTTTCCATGATTTGTTGGAAGATGCTCGGGCCGCTGGCAACACCAAACGGAAGGCGGTCGTAGGCACGCGCGCCACATCGACAGTAGTTTGATCCTTTCTGGTGCCACGGCGGAGCTCGTACTTCTCCGCAATATCCAGCGCTTCCTCCAACGTAGAGTACGTTTTCGACTGGAGATGCTCCCGTACAGCGTCGCTGGCGAGACCATTAAGAAAGGTCGCCGACATGTTCTTTTCAAGAACATCGGCTGGAAAACCACACGGAAAGGCTTTGCGGCGAAGCTTATTGGAATAATCCAACAGGGATTCACCCAGTTCTTGTTTGAGCTTAAAATAATTGGCCCACTCGGTGGCAGCGTTGATCTTCTTCACGAAGGCGTGTTCGAGTTTGTCTACAATTTGCGCTGTGGTGAAATCGTCTGGGTTCGCCGGCAAACACATAGAGAAGAGCATTTCTCCAGCCTCGACGCCCAGGGAATCGAAGAGTGGACATTTCTGGTCTTCGCCGTCCGTGATTTTGTGTAGCTTGACGTAATTCCTATACTGGAATTGCCACCAGCGCCAGGTCATTTTGGAAGGCTCAAATTTAATCAAGCCGGAGGCGTCCTTTTCTTTCGCTGTACTCGCGGTGGTGGTGGCGGTTGAGGCGGGTATTGATGGCGTCTTTTATAAAGGAGATTGGAGTATGACCGTGCGTGAGTTCGAAATACTTCACGCCAGTTTGTCACGAAGTAAGAAATAAATAGTAATATTTATTTGGTACGCGCGCGCTGCTCTACTGACTAAATCTATCATCAACATCTCGCAGCATAACAGTCGTTGCTAGGTAAAAGGTCATGTATTACCGCACGGCATCACAGATTTGTAGAGGGATTTGATCGCAATTTTCTGAGGAATTCAGTCTCAGTAGGAAGAAGTCAGCTGCAAGTGTAACCGATCAAGATGCGGCTATCTAGATGTCAACCAAGTGAACAGTTCCTCCAGATTATACGAGAACACCAACTTGGTGAATGTTCAGTAACTAACTGGATTTCTGTCACGTGGGTTTACACGGACACAAGAGCAGTAGTTATTATAATACTTATCACAGTTTTTAATAATACCAAATGACGCATAATCGTTATATACAAGCCCATCCAACAATTCTTTGACCGCTGTAAGCGGGAATTTAAAGAAACGTGGGCTTGAGCCATTTAATGTGCTTCGACACGTCACGCCACATGGGTCTGCGTATTCAGCGTAAATAAGCAACAAATCTGCATGTGTTGCAGTTACTGTATCTGTGATATACAACGTAATATGTTTAGCATTATTTATTGCCATCATAATTTATATTAATTTTATGCTTTTGTATCAGTATTATCTTTGCTTTGCAATACAATATCGCGGTGGTACTTAATATCCATATTACTTTCAAATTACTGATTGCAACATGCCCGGGCTAAAGATGATTGATTCCACGTTGGTCTAATAATGGTCGATTAATTGTGATCTAATATATTATTAGTGGTTGAATATTTATAAATATATCTGCCACTACACTACGATGCGTATTTGCATTACTGTGCGCGATTTATATGCGCTGCGCTTACAGCGGTCAAAGAATTGTTGGATGGGCTTGTACCTGCCGGCCCTTATGGCCACCGCAATACCAGAAGAATTGTGTAGCTGATCGAACGCCTGTAGTACTATTCTTACCGAAGAACACGAAATTGATATCTAGTGTGATGAAATGATGAATCATAGCCGGGTAGTCTTTTTGATCATACAAATACTACCGCTGTAGTAATTATGCATGGTGTCTAGTGTCTACAGAGGTGTCCGTACAAGTTTTACACGGCGTCTACCGTGACATACAGTCACGGTCGTTAATCGCTAGCTCCTGCTGGGTGCTCTGCCCGTATACACCGGAAGTCATCTGTAGGCGCCTACAGTCACCATGGCTTTCATTTCCTTAGGCCTTTCAGAATCACAGTTCTGAACTTTGCACAGTCATATTTTATGAGGTTAGACGGTGACATCCCTGTCTTATTATCTTTCGCTCAGGCCAGCGTGTCATGTCGCCGGTCATTATGTACCAATTACAAGATTTATGAAAGATCATGAAAAAGATTTATGGAAGCCTTTCGACATCGAGTTTGCTGCTGACTTTATTGCTAAGATAACTTGTTGAGCTATACGTATTTATGATGACCACCGGTTTCTGTCATTAGTAAAGCTCGCGAGATTTATAATTACAGTCCGTATCAAAAGAAAGCTCCCTGTATTAATACACTTACGCTTTTTATTTACGGTATGCGACTATTAGTACAATTTACTGCAGAAATTATGCCAATACCAGTAATTTTTTTGTTCTTCAAGGACTGGCTCAATGAATTCCGGGTATGAGTACTCGAACTACTGCATATTTAATTAATGTATCTGAATAATATTGCATTTATGCAATGTTTAAACCCGCCCGCTCCTCATGCTTGTCAACAGAAAATAGAAGTTTGGAATAAAATAGAAGAAGAAGAAAATAGAAGCAAATAGAAGAAAATAGAGTCTACAGAAAATAGAAGCTGTTTGGTGCAAGTTCATGTTTCCATACAAGCAGCCCGTCAACGGGATCGTCGGGATGTACCCTTATTGTTCCATGTAAGAACGCAATATCTCCTGTTCACTCACGCATATACTTAAACTCTAATTTTACAGATGCTTCCCCGTCCGAATTTTACACGTCCGAATTTTAACACAGAAAAAAACGTACAGGCATCAGAATTTCGCTGGGTCAAAAAATTATTGTCAAGCACCACGATAGTCTCGGAAATCGTGCTATCGATTTCTTGCCTTTCGTTTGCTTCGACCGCACTGTTTGCTTTGCAGGCGATTGTGAGCCAATTCGGAAATCAAAACTATCACTAGACACAATTGCAGTCTGAAAACAGCGTAGAACACGTTTTTCAGTCTGTGCCAGGTTATGGTTTGAGCGAATCCCTTCTTTTGTAATTGTTGCTTTTATTTGCCGATAGTCATATTATTGTTTCCAGAACCGAACGACATCATTTTGTGGATGTTGACAAGGCGATTTAGAATTCCCGTTTCGGAGAGCCGCTGCACCCTACAATCAGCGGCCAAGTGAATAACGTCGATTGACACAGCGGCACGTTTGTGGCAATTAATTCGCAGTCAATAACTCACTAAGAGATAACGATTTATTTATTAAGTAAGAAAAGGTTTGAGTTAAATGCCGGGAAACCTTCCGTTAATATCCACTGAAGTTTTTCTTGCGCACTCTGCAAAAGCGTTTTTATCCCATAATAAATCGGACCCTACCTTTGAAGGATAGGCGCTGTAAGTGCACTCTTTGGCTTCGTCTGCAGTATGCTGACCCATCGGTAAACTCCAAAGTCAAACACCGGGATGATGCCTCGTTTACTGCACGCGTTGCTGTCGGCGTAGAAACGCACGACAGCCGCCTTCAACGCTCCAGATCGGCTAGCCGCCATATCGTTCACGACATCATCCGCGTTGTTGGTTTCCAGCGTAATGGCATTTTGCAACATTCTCGCGAAATCAGCTCGGTCAGCTGAAAGTTCGGCAGAGTTAGCGCGCTTGATAAGACGAAACCCGGCAGCAGTCAATGTGTCCGGTGAGTTAAAGGGGAGCGTGGAGACGCTGACACTCAACGTGGCGGATAACGATGACGTAACGGTTGTGATTATTATGGGAGTCCATACAAGCCATATGGCCATGAGTACACTGCACGCTGCTCCAAACACATTTTTGTTTCGTTTTAGGCCATTCTGTAACCAGATGATTTGTATGCACTGGCGTGAAAACCCTTTGTGCGCGCAACATCCGGTTCGGAAGTTATGGCCATAACTTCCGAACCGGATGTTGCGCCGATCCACTGTCCTAACATGTTTTTCGAATTTTCAAATGAATTTCAAAAATTTTAAAATTCATTTTAAAGTTTGAAAAACATCATGGAAGTCTGGATCGGTGTAAAAACGATCTTCATGACCGTGTGCATTTATGTGCAAAATCTGGAGGAGATCGGTCCATAATGAGACTTTTGGTACACCGAAATGCATTTAAACTTTTTGGAATTATCCAACAGTCGTACCTTCCGAACCGGATGCTGCGCGCGCAAACGGTTTTCACGCCAGTGTATACAAATCATCTGGCTACAGAATGTCATAAAATAAAACAAAAATTTGTTTGGGAGTGCGCGAAAGTAAAAGATTTCGTGCATGTACACGAATTTGGTACCATGTACCGGCCCACTTCCCTTAACAATCAGCAGCTAGCAAGCCAGCATAACTTGTAAATCAAAGCATACTGAAGTGATTCTGCCATGGGCCGTTGGGAGAGTAACGAGCCGAGCCTTAGAACAAAATATATGTGTGACATAGTGCTTTATTAACCCGGTCGACACCATGCATGCCAATTGGCACGGTGAAGGACCAAATTTCTGTTAGTTGTTCTAGCGCTCATACAGTGTGTTTATTGGTTTCGTTTCAAAGAAGAAGAGCGGAAGTATGGTTTAAAAAATGAAATTGCACAGTACAGCAATACCACAGAGTTGTGGGAATGACCAAAGGTGGACAAAAGTTACCAAACTAGGTTCGCGGAGGTCTCGGCCACCTGCCCAGAAACTCGAGCATGAGATAATTACGCAAAAAATCATTCTTTAAGTATGCATAGGGCTTTATTCAAAAATGAGCAGGTCGTACTTGCACAGGTGGACACCGTCCGACCACGATCATTCTAAAAAGCTGTGCCAGTTTTGGCACGCATGGGTTTGGTACTATTTAATGCCAGAAGTTTGAAATTCTGTATAAAAACATCGAATCAAGATAAAAAATTGCACGTACATTTAAAAAATCTCACTAATTTAACCCTTTTTAGTGGGCGTAATTCAGTGGCCATCAAAGTAACCAGTGGTCACTCAAGGTGAAAAAATCTCAAAAATCGCCTTATTGGAAATAAGCCCGAAAATTAAGAAAACTAGGCACAGACATACGCACTAACAATTGTTTTCGGCATTCCCATAAGTGCGTAACACTACCTGTATTAGGGCGTGTACTTTTACTAAAAAATGTGCAACTAAAAAATAAAAAAGTTCGCATTTGGGTGTCGCTGAGCCTGACGATGTTATATCAGTGCATGAACAAGCGTAACTGCCGATTAACAACCACCTCGTAGCCTCGCCGTATCACAGCTTTTGTAATGACGGGAATTGTGTAATGGCACCTCAGTTCTTTTAATTTATATACTCTTAAGCACTTTACGAGTGCACACATTAAAATGCATTTTCTGTTAACTAATCCAAAAGCAGTTTATATAATTAGAAAAACAGTAAGCATTACAATAGGTTTAACACTATCGCCATAATAAAGGTACTTACATTAACGTAAATTCTGTCTCCATCAAGATTGCACAGCGAAATGGTCCTCTACACTACTGCCCAGCGTCTGGCGTTGTCTCTGACAACGCCAGTCCATGACAGCCACAGTCCAGCACAGCGAACTGAGACAGCTGTATGCACTTATGTTTCAAGCACGATCAAACTGAGCGCTGGTCAAAGTAAAGTGCTGTTTGATACACTTCGCGCGTTTCCTCATAGACAACGTTTTTGTGCTTGCATAGTGCTAACCGATGTTTCCTTGATCATAAGCGTTTCTATCTGTTTTTCGTTATATACTGACCACTTTATATCATGTTTGTGGTTTGCCAGCTATGATCGGCAGTTTTAAACATCTTTCATTCTGCTGACCACTGGTCATCCTGCTGACCATTTGAATCACCTAACTGAATAGCGCTCTTCGAGGTGTTCCACTTAAGCTAAACTATGCTCGTGTATGATTTTTTTGTGAATTGTTATTTGAATAAAACTATACAGTGCCAATTGGCTCAGTTCCCATGCGTGCCATTTTGGCATCATAGCGTCCTGCTTGACCTATGGTCACAAAAATTCAACAAAAAATAATTTTTCTTAATTGAATTATTTGGTCGAGGATTACCAATTTTCAAGCCGGCATTCCTATCCCTTCTGGTACCCGGCGTTGGTAGGTTAATGCGTACTGTTTAGTATTCTAACAGGGGATGAACGGCTAGTTCACCCCTGTGCGCGAACAGAAACGGAAACTGAACGCCAACACACTGCACACTTTATCGCTCTCGCATACAACACATCAAAGGCCACCGCAGCACCTTGCTGCGGGGCAAAAAGGAAAAAGCATCCAGCTCAGACGACGAAATCTAGCAACTGAAGAATCTACCAGATTCTAAATCTGGTAGATGGAGAAAAACACGGCAAAAACAGCAAAACAACCTAGCAGCCGCCTGTGCGCGGGTGAACGGAGAGGCCACTCCTCCTCACAGTATAATGTGTTACTTTATTTTGTCTTTGGTCACGCCTCTTGACCATTGCAGATGGAAAACTTTGCTCCAGCATACAACGATCGGATAATCATTTTTTGTACAAAAGTCACAAAAAAGCGTTAATTTCTGCACATGAAACCGGCTTATGTACCCCGGTCAGAGCGAGGCTGAAAAATACACTAATGATTTTGAAAGTGGTCAGAAATTTGTCTCTACTAACCTCACTTGCAGGGCATTTGCAACTTCTCGCAAAACGGAAACCAATATCCCACAGAAGCATACTGATCCATCTGAGAGTGCAGCCACCTGATAGCTGTAAGGAGCGTTTTCATTGACGCTGACAATGAAATTGTCGACCTTTGGCGATCCGTTGCTCCGTTGTCCGTCGGAACAAACTCGATGGAAATTGTCACACATGACGCTGATGCTGCAGACTGTGACTGCTCCAGATGGATGCACACAACCTGTTTACGCGCTGCAGACCAGAAAAAAATTTGGTATTTAAGGCGATACCCGTCAAACGTTAACTATACAGATATACTGCGAAACCGCCATTGATTAGGTTTCGTGTAACAATAATTAGCACTGGTTATAATGCAGCGTTTAAAAAATCCGGAAAATTCTCCACACGACCCTGACAAGAAGGAGCGAAGTGACGCGAACACGGATATACTGACGCAAGTCACACAGACTAACTACATAGAGACAGTGTCCCGCACTAAAAAAGTCAATACCGAAACGCAGCATTTACAATCTCCAGGGAAAGACTTCGAGAGTTTTGCTAAAGATCGCATAATTCCCAACAGAGCGCTTTTGGAACGAGCTCAAACAACACTTTTTACCGAATTGAAGTCTGTGGATATAAGATCAGCTGACTTAAGTTATTTCATAGTTTCGGCATTTTTAAACTACATCAGTTCACAAAATAAACAAATTTTCCCAACACAACGAAGTTCTCAATGATCTATTTTTTTTCCAAACAGTTTTTCACCGAGGACTGCAGCAAGGAGCAGCTTTTGGCATCAGTGACACCACCATTCAACTGTCTTGATTGCTGATAATCGAACAATAATCGAATTGAACATTATTGCTTGGGGAACCGGAAGAAAATGCTTCATGTCGTAATATTATCATTCGAAAGCGTGTTCGACATGGCCAACTTTATTCAGGAATGTGCAAGCATGTGTCCTACTTCGGTAGCATCGCAGCCGTTGTTCAGTTGCCTGTATTGGGAAGAGACTGTAACGGTTCAACAAAGCTGTCCTGATTCGATTGTTCTGAAACGGTGAAAAACATTGGCAGGGTGAAAATTACGCTAGTGTATCCGACCGAACGGTTTTGCCGGTTACATGAATCGTTGTTCTTCGATGCAATATTTTTGCCAATTATTCTGCCGTTGCTCGGAAGAAAGTGAAGTGGTTATGTTCCTCTGGAGAGTTATTGTACCAGTAAGCTACAGTAAATTTCATTGTACCTATGTCGGTAGTTTGCTTACGCTTCAGTCATGCATTGCCAACAAAAAAGTGACTGTCCTTTCCTAGCCATGTGGGAAGGGTTAATTATTATTATGTCATGCTAATCAGTTCCCAGATCTGGCATCGGAATCGGCCGGTAAAGAAGACCGGTGAGCTGATAATACAAACAGGCTACCTAATCTTATTGTTACGAAATTTTTGCTTAGTGCCTCGTTCCACCACCATGTTTCCTAAAATTTCGTAAGTTCTTTATCGGAACCTATGCCGGCAGTGTCATGTACTCGTATTTCGTGTTTTTTACCGTGTTGCTGCGTTTGCGTACGCACAAGAGAGCTTGGGGAATTATAATTCTCCATAACGCCTTATTGGACTTTACGATGTGTGCCATTCATGTACCGAAAAAATATAAATATTATGGTACAATGTAGTTTATTTTAACGGTGATCATGCATTTCCGAAGGGCAAACACAGCATTTATCCTCACAGTTTAATGTTTATAACAGGTACCGTTAACAGTTTAACAAATGCCTGTTTAGCTCTGAATCGGTTTTTGCGGGAAGTCTGGGACTGCTTTCCCAATCAGTTACAGGACTGGTCAACAAAAAGAGCGTTGTAAACAAAACGCAAATATTCAACTGGAAGTCGCTTTATTGAATGCGTTTGCAAAAATAAATGTGCCTCACTTGTGAGTACGACTGTATTGTACGAGTACAAATTTCTTTATAAAACGCTTACTACTGTACGTAGACAAAATGGCGTAATTTCAGCTATTCAGTACGTCGCATTTAAATTTTACGCAGTTTTGTTCCAACCGAATTGCAGCTGATATTTTTGTAATTGTGCGGCTACTGTACTTAAATGAACGGTTAGAATTATTCGCCCAAGTTTCAGAAGTTAAGAATGTCAAAAGGGTCAGGAACGGACGCTGGCGTGGAGAACTCCAGAGCAACTGCAATCCGCTACCAGAAAGCAAGGCGTTGCCGTTTGTTAAACTTACTAAAGAAAGTCATTTTAAATAAACAAGATACACGTGTAAGGAGGAGTGGCCTATCCTTTCACCCGCGCACAGGCGGCTGCTAGGTTGTCTTGCTGTTTTTGCCGTGTTTTTCTCCATCTACCAGATCTTCAATCTGGTAGATTCTTTAGCTGCTAGATTTCGTCGTCTGAGCTGGATGCTCTTTCCTTTTTGCCCCGCAGCAAGGTGCTACGGTGGCCTTTGAGGTGTTGATGTGAGAGGGATATAAAAGTATGCAGTGTATTGGCGTTTAGTTTCCGTTTCTGTTCGCGCACATGGGCGAACTAGCCGTTCATCCCCTGTTAGACGCGTCACGCAGCTATTCCAAGAACTACAAATGTCGCGTAAGAATAGAGGTGGGAATTAGTTTTTGATTTGCCAGCACCTTTCGTTCTAATTTTCAGGTAGATCGGGTGTAGAAGAAAACATCAGAGAACCACTGAACGAAGACTGATGCTCGATATAAGTTCCCTGGTTGGCTGTTTGCACAGCCAATCAGGGAATGGCAAAACACAGTTCGGTATTTGTGAGGGTCGTTGATCAATGGGAAAACTGTATATTTAATGCCCACAAATTGTGTGCTGCAGCAGCTCTTCATCGTGCTCGGATAATGCAACGATCGACCAGGGTTCGTTGCGGGAGGTATCGTAAAATTCAATAGAACATTCATTCTCGCCTTCAGCATTGTTGCCGCCACAGACATATATGCGTTCGTTAGCGGCACAAGTTGAAAGATGGCTGCGCGGGTGTTGCAGAGGGTAAATATCCTCCCAGGTAGCTGTTCTCATGCTAAAACGCATACAATGGGATGTTGTAATCCCCAGTCTTTTCCCAGGAATAACGAAACATCCACCAAGAATGTAAATATACTCGCCCACGACAGCCATATCAAACCAATCCCGTCTGTGTGGAAGTTTTGCTAGCAGTTTCCATTCATCCGCAATCGGATCATAAAGAATCAACCCAGAATGTTCATTCTCATTGCCAGTAGTCCATTCACTGTATGCATACAGTATTTTCCCTCCAAGTTCACCCACCGCGTACACACCCCCGGCCCAGCCCCTGCAATCAAAACATCACTCTGCAGCTTGACTCTGCACAATCCAACAATCTAAATTTCCGTGCATCGTGTTCTATACTGTAATGCCTATACAAAAAAATTATGTTCAAAGTACATTGGCTTTGTACAGAGTAGTGACGGCTTTCCTTAGGACAGCACAGCCAATAACTACAAGTCCGTCCACAAAACGGCCGACCCCCGTAGACGCTTAAGGTCATTCGCGCCGACTTTAGCTTGATGGACCTTACGCGTTTATAGAAGTTGGTTGTTTTGTGGTCCGGCTTGAACTTTGTTGCTCACTTTCGAAGTGGAGATGGTCTCACATGTTGCATGGTAGTTTCATATGACTGTGTAGTGTTGTTCCATACTATCTTTTCCGCCAGAAACGTTTCACCAAAACGGTTGAAATAATAAAGCATGTTTTGAAGCACGACCGGATTCCGGCAATCTGCGGGCTCAGTCCCCGATTTAAGACGGAATGATCGCCACGTACCATCCCAAGGTTTCCACAGATGTAATCTTTCATCGACGCCTCGAAATATTAGCTCTCCAGTAAGTAGCGTTAACTGTGGAAAGCATAATTCCATTTTCCAGCGCACAGACACCCCAAAAATTTGGATCCGGTTTGTCGCAGAGTCTAATGTCATCACCTTAATGACGCTCGATATGGAACTCCAGTCCATTATAACAACGCCAAGACTGACATTTCCAGTGACAACGCCAAGGGCAGCATTTTTGCTAACAAAACCAGTGGCGCCAAAAACTGAGATTTTGTGCAACAGCGCTGCGGCCGATAATCTTCCATTGGGATTTGGCTGGAGGCACAGTTTGATGCAGGCTGCTAACTTTCGTGGAATTTTATCATCCACAACCGGAACATAGCCATCCATTATAAACGCGGCAAACTGACTTTTCGAGACATTGCTTCCTAAACTGATCTGTTTTTCTGTGTTTGTCAGCCTTTTTTCAACAATCTTTTTGCCGAAAAAGCTCTCCGCGATTTCTAGCAATATGCAGCCCAAACTCCAAATATCAGTTCTGCGGCCTGGACTTTCGGTTTCACACTGGCTGAATTTTCTCAACATTTCTGGTGACATGTAGTGCAAAGTTCCACGCAGTTGAGATATGTCTCCAGAACAAGTCATGTTTTCCTGCAGGCGTACCAAATCGTCCAGATCACCAATGACCAGCATTTTTTTTCCTTCTAGCAAGTCTTTCACCAGGACGTTGCCCGGTTTCAAGTCGCCGTGTATGATTGCCTGACGATGCAAGAAATCTACTCCCGTTGTTATATCTTTGCAATATTGTCCAACGACTTTGTATTGGTTTACATCACGTTCTCCTGATTCCTGAACTTCTTTTAACAGTGATGCCAAGTCACCTGAAAGAGGATCACTGCATTTACTTTGGTGACGAGCAGACCAGTACGGTAGATCAATATGGGAAGCACCCATACTCCAGGAAGACAACCGCTATTATGAAAAAAATGTTCATAGGGCATCATTATTACCTGTTGTACTGCTTTGGTAACACAGTATGGTTTCAAAATTACTAATTACTGGCACTTTAATTCGATAGCTCGATAACAACATATAAAGGTCTAGTTACGATTAAACAAAACAACAATTCAACAGTACCAATTACAGAAGCGCCGTTAAAACGCTGAGTTACTAAGGAAATATTCTGTTTCAAATGCTCAAGACTACGATTCTCGTTGGTTTGTAGCGATATCCTCCTAATGGCTTTGCCCGTGGTCAGTAATACCAGAGCCCGGCCGGCCATTCGTCGCAAAGGCTCACTATGCTGTTTCATAGCGTAAACAAAACTGTAGCAAGCCCGTGCATCTTTGCTTATTACAGACCTCCCGAAACGTAATTTGTGTGAAATGCGACATTTCATACGGAAAGGTAACAGAACTAAGAAAATAAAGTACAACGTGAATATTTGCACTAGCTAACTATCGACAAATACCGTAGCCGTTTCAGTTTGTATGCTTTATTATAATATGTTTGGTGTTTTCTAATGATATGGCTACTATTACATTAATTTTCCTAGAGGTTTGTTAAAATACATACTAAATCTATAGAAGTATAGTTAGTACGTATATAATCCAGTTAATATCTTCACTTTTATTGATTAACATTTGCTCAGGCTACATTCCTCGATATGTATAAAATAAATAGTAGCTGCTTCTAATTCCCGTCTTGCAAAGTTACTGAAAAATGCATAATGATTAACAAAAACTAAAAACTGCAGTAATAATGATGGTAATGATGTAATAAAAAATCGCACAGTTCTGCTGCTATCATTAATTCGAATCTGCCTGTTTTGTAATACTTTTTGTTTAGTAATAGTAATGCAGAGTAATTTTGTAATGTTCTTTCGCTAATTGCAATTTTACCGCAAACACTGCGGCAAAACAGCCACCATGCGAAAAAAGGTAGTTCTCACTGCAAGCCGTACGTTACGGTGCATAACAGGCAGTACGTTGCAGGTTATACAGGTTCTGTGTGCAGACCAGAAGGAAATTTGAGAACGCTTACATTGAAAGGCACAGTAAAAGTATTGTACAGTAAAAATTAGCCGTTTGCCCTAGCGTAACTATTGCAAATAAAACATGTTTCCACCATTTAGAATTTAGCATCCAAATCTTTGAAGAAAAATAACCGCAAAAGTCTCAACTGTGCTTTCAGGTTTTTGCGGGATAGCTCGACGGCTTTCGTTCCTTGTGGTTAGCCGTGTCCGCGCGCTTTAGCGGCTTTCGAGCTATGTTGAGACTGGCTCGAAGTCGAGTACGTCGAGGTACCTGATAACTCTTTGTACAGATGACCTAAATAGTGCCGTTTAGCGCGCGACCGACAAAACGTCATTTTTTCTTGAACATAATTATAAAACCTTCGCTTCGCACCGGCCGATCACTGCACGTCCAGGGTAAGAGCAAAGTACTACAGTGGCAAATTTAAGGAATTCATTTACTCTTTCACCAGTTAACTATGCTCAAAAAAGTGGTTTACAAGAAATTTGAAATAATTTACTGTTTTTTATTGAATTTGTAGCAGTTATAGCATTAACAACGTGCGTCGGCTTCGAGAAAAAGTCCACCAATTCTGGAAACTTGATACATGATGCATTTTGAACCTTAATTACGCTGTAAAAAACTGCGAATTACAGTGTTTTTACTAATTTTATTGAATTTCTAACATTTTGAAAGGAATTCGCTGGTTAGCTATGCGCTTCGCGCAAAGATTGACAACTGGTGTGCTTTTTAAACCAGCGTCTTGTTCAACGCGACCTTATCACGCAAATTGAACCAGTTTATCTACTTCTAAAAAAATTCAAGCAGCTTCTACAGCAGAATATTTCACCGTCTTTTGGGTTCCCACTTCCCGGGTATTACGTGCTTTTTTCCCTCAGCGAGTTAAACTCGCCTTAGCAGTACTATAATATTCCGTCATTGTAGAGAGCAATAATGTCAGCTTACCGCTACAGCGCTCCATCATCATCTCCATTCTGATTCCGCGTGCGGCTTTTGTAAGGCAGATTTGATGATAACGTACAAGATGTGGGTGCACTAACTGAGGCAGCTCTCTTAACTTGGCCAGCGTTTTCGTCCAATATGCTTTGTTCCTGACAATTTCTGAGCTGGAATCCAGATGAACGGCTTTAACAGCCACATTATTACTGTCTCCTGTATAATCGCCGCGTTCGGTAATTACACCCTCATACACAACTCCAAATCCTCCTTGTCCTATGATGTCGGTGTACAGGCGCTGGTACCGGCAATTACTACCAATCGTTTCAATTACGCGTTGATCGGATTTAAGAGATCCGTCGGCTTCCATTTTATAAATTTTATTCAAATAATTTTGGGGAGACCTGGACAATCTACGCTAGTTTGTAATCAGCGAGACTAGGAACACAATCAAATCGAAATTGATCGAACCCATATTATTATATCCATTTCAGCAGGGTAAGGATTTCATGAGTGTACAACTGTGAAGTACGTAAAATAAATAAGTAAGTACTAAGTACACTGTACACAGCGGCGCTACGCGATTAGATAAGAAGTACTGTACAGTAATCAGGATGTGAAACGCTTAGCATTGTACCGGGACACCGCGAGCCAGTTGAAACGTTTACGCACCGACATTCTACGGAGTCGCAGTACGAAGATACCTATGCGCTAGTACGAAGATATCATAAACAAACAGACTGTCCGCTCAAACAAAATAATTATTGCATAAATGTTGGACCTCGTAAAGGCAGTGTTGTGGCTTTCTCATTTTAATGGATCAAGGTGTGCCGGACCGCCGGTATATAGCACAACCGGCTTCGTGCTGGCCAGGGGACAACTTATCTTTTGACCTGTGCATACATGTAAAAAATGATGTAATGATATTTTGCAATTAACTGAAATTAGACCAAAATGCCGCATGATTGGATTATAATCGCGAACTGTGTATTATAACCCGCTTCCGCTGTTTTCGCTGAGCTCCCATCAGCAAACAGTGCCGAGCGGCGGAAGAGATCCCTATTCTACTTGTGTGGCGCTTGTGTAGGGCTAATGATCAATCGCTGTTGAATGGACGTTTAAACGGATCAGATCTGTATTTCCAGCAGCACATACATGACAATGGACTAGGACATACAATAATATTATATTCCCGGTTGCAGCCGGGACTCTGCGACTGTTTGCCCATCCACAACGCAGCGCATACATCCATACGCAGCCGTTGCGGGCCGAGCACACAACACGAAGCGAATGAGGAAAGATGAGAAGAAGCAAACACAGAACATCGACAGCGTATATATTGCTCTAAGCTAAACACAAACCGAACGACACTACACCGAGAAGAAGAGAGAGAAAGAGGAGAAACCTGCCATGCAATATGCATCAATCACCATTCAGAACCAGCCTTATCGCCGAGAGTATACACAGTACAAAACCCCATTGAGGAAATCCAACACGTTCTTTCATCACTTTCCGGAGACGGGTTTAAGCCAGACGCGCCAGCAGCGCCGCCAGGACGGTGACGCCCAAGGAGGCCAGTAAGCCGGGAGCGGATCCGCTCGGGGTCGAGGCGGCGACGATCTGCACCTTGGCGGTGGAGGGCGCGGCGGTCGGGGCGGGGGTCTTCACTTCCACGACGGCGGCCGGGGCGGGGGTGCCGGCCGCGACGACCACGGCGGGGGCGGGGGTTCCGGCCGCATCATTTCCGGTTCCGGTTCCGCTGGCGACCACGCTGGTGGCCACCACGCCGTTGGAGGAGGTGTTCTTGGAGTCGACGCAGGTCTGCTGGCCGTTGACGGTGGTGCAGGCCGAGGACACCGAGACGGAGCTGCCGGGCGGGGCGTTGGCCAGGGCGGTGTTGATGTTGCTCACCGTGTTCTGGATGCGGTCCTTCGCCTGCTGGTTCACCTGCAATATTCCCCAATTTATAACTGACACGCCAATAAAATTATTAACACATAAATTAAATTGTGGCGGCAGCCGAAAAATCGAAATAATTATTTTCTATCTGATTGTATATTACAGATATTTTCACTAACTATTCACAAGGAAAATTGAATTTTAATAAGCTGCCGGTAAAATTATTTAATTATTCTCTAATTTTTTATAGACGCGGGCGTTTTTTATTTTGACTTTTTTTATATGCAGATTTTATTTTTACAAATAGTTTTTTTTATTTTAATACACGTGTCATGCAGAAATAAATTTAATAACAAATCAAAAGGAATTTTTAATCCGCGGAGGCGGCCAATGAATTAAAATTGTTACTCTCCAATTTTCATAAATGCAGTCAATTTTTACATTTTTTATTTTTTATATACACTTTTTATATGTTTTTTCATTTTAATACACGCGTCATGCAACTGTGTTTATTAACGAAATACAAGCAGGTTTTTAACGAGCGGCGGCGGCCGGTAATAATAATAAAATACTCTCAGATTTGTCATCTGTGATACGAATATGCTCAATAATTAATCACACGGGAAATTAATTTTTCAGTCAGCTGACAACGGCCGGTAGATTTCAATAAAGTTGTAGCGCGCATTAACGCCCCGAATCCGTATTAAATTAATGACAGCACATCCTGATTGGTGCGGGCAGCCCGGTCGGGTGATGAAGTCATTAGAGGGCTGCGTGTGCAGCCCGGCGCATCCGGTCTCCCGAGAACGGGACGCCTCATTATTGCCACTTCATTAGCTGCCGGCCGCGCTAATGCCGCGTATATACACGCACACCCCCGCGCAATTAAGCGAAATAATAAAGCAGCGCGCATCTCGCGCCGGCTTTTTCTCAGCCGTTGCAAAAACAAACTGGAGCGGCAAAAACGAACGCCGGTGTTTTTGCCGGCGCAATATAATTGTTATGGAATTATAATGGATCGGTGCATGCGCCGATGATGTAAGAAGCGACAGCACACAGGTAGGGAAAAGTGCCGCTGTCATGCGTGATAATTATCGTAATCAAATGTCCCGCGGCGATTTGATACTCGGCGAATATCCGCGGCTGTCAGAATGCTACTACTCAGAAAGTTCCCAACGCGCGCTACAGCTTTTTATCCGCGGTGTTGCCTTGGCGGTAGTGCACAGGCAACGACAATTCAAAATAGCCGCAATCCACAATCGCATCACATGCGCTGAACAATTCACGGTATCGTTAGGAACGCTACAACACTTTATGATTTCATCCACCTGAGCACACACGCTAATGAGATTTCGATTTTTTCGCTTGCATAATCCCCAGAATTCCATTAAATTTATATCAGCGCTTTGACGTATAAGTAAAATTAATTTTTTCTATACATAAAAATTATACATAAAAATAGGAGCTTAATAAACTAATGGTAATATTTAAAAAATTGGATTTTTTTACTAGTAAACTAAATTGTAGCTACGTTAAGATACAAAATTGTACAGACAAAATCAAACTTTAATTTAATAAAAACATGAAGTAGAGCGGTACACTACCTTCAAGTAACACTATTGCTGTTATTTATATTTAGGAACAGCGTATGTACGTGCGAAAACAGATGAATTATACTGCACAGTCTTTTTTATATTAAAAGAATAAGAATTTAAGAAAGTACGCATTCGAAGTAAACAAAATAATCATATAATGATTATTAATAACGAAATAAATTTGTTTACAGTATATAAATTAAAAAGGCACATATAATTGCATTAATGTGGAAATTAATTTTGGCGTCGGCACTGTAACGGAAAATTCTGTTGCTTATATTAAAAACAGAGCAGAGACTTTTGCCTTGATCGAACAATTATAACTGACGGAAAACGGTAACACGAGCGTTAGTGACAATGGCCAACACGCTGACTCGTGCTGGCACAACAACACAGCGCACCGTTGGGAAGTGGGCCAAAGCCAAGTACGGCACTATTGCCGTTCACCTATTCTAACTATACAGTGCCAGCGTGCATTGTGTGCGGCATACCGGCATCGACCCAACAAAATGCATAAACTATGAATAAACTGAACAACTGCGTGCCGAAACAGAGCGCACTACAAAAAAATCTTGCTGGCATCAACAATGATGAGAAGCGCGGTGAAATAGTGTCCGTGTGCACGGAATGAGCACGTTCGCGTTAAAAATATTTTGTCGCGGAAAAGTGCTCCGCTTAATAAATCGTAATATACGCTATTGTTAGCCGCGCGGATATTTTTGAAAATATGCGCAGTCGGCCTTCAAGTGCACCCGCCACTTCCCTAAACGCGGACAAATATGTTGACGCGGCGCATTTATTTTCGCAGGAAACAATTTCCTGTAATTATGAGTGCCTAACTGGCGCTGCGTGCCGAACTCTCTGCTTATATTATTTCTCCATGCAAATCAGCCATTCTTGACCTACACTCATCGCACCGACACCGGCAACAAGCAGCCGCTTGTTATGTACAATATTCGCAAAAAGCCGGTGTTTGTTCGGGAAGATGCCGAAGAAACGGATCTTTGCCGAGACAGCCAACGGCAATTATGCATGCTGATGCCGGCTGGAGAACGCTGCGTTTTGCGGGATGCGGGAGAGAATTAAGTGGGCAAGACAAGCCGCTCACAGCCAGACACAACAACATCAGCATAATCTTATCGCTGCACAAGACGCTGGTCGTGATGGCGCTTCCGGCCGGCGTCCCGGCCTTTCTTCCCTCCCGCCGCCACCATCACTCAATCAATAGCTGTAGCCAGCACAACCGGAAGCGCTTTCCAACGGCTGCCTTTTCAGCGGAGGAAAAAGCAGCCCAGGAAAAATAAATAAATAACCCAGGCAGAGTAAGACATCTGCTGCGCGTGCAATTGCCCGGCGGCACGCGAGCACATCCCCGTGGTTTTGTACGGGACGAGTGAAGCGCGCCCGGCCCTTGTCATTAATCGGGGGAAAGATGGGTGCTTATATAATCTGCGTATTTACCACCACAAATAATATTTCTAGGAAATATTGTGCTGTATATAATCGAACACTATACACTTACATCGCCGGGCTGGTCCGCCGCGACGAGGAGGACGCAGCTGGCCGCCACCAATAAACAGCAGATTTCCCGGTACATCGTTACTTAATTAACAGGGAATCTGCAAATAAACATATACACGATCAAGAAATTACGGCTTCTTTGCAATCAGCAATACGATTACAGAAATTACGGCTTCTGTCGACGGTCTACTCGGTACACATACCGGTGTGTTTAGCAAGGTTGCCGGTTAATCGGTACAGATACACAGGGTGCAATGAAACCAAATCGGAGCGCGATCCTCTGACAAGAGACGATTAAGCGGCTCGCTCTCAAGGTGAGTGCTGAACGCGGGGATCTAACTCGACTACCAACGTGAACTTGAACGTCAATGGCACTTGTTAGTACGGGAGTTAAGCACAGCTTCCACGCTAGAAATCCAACGGACGGAGTATACACAGCTGTAACGCTCGATCGATTGCCAGCGGTACGCAGCACGAGCGCGGCTTTATACGCGGGAAAAACGGATACTCTGTACACTCTGTACACAGTCAGCAGCTGCCGGCAACAATTACACTGCATTTTTGCTACACTCTCGACAACACGCGTCAAGATTGGCTGCCGTTAAACGCTGTACGATGTACGTGGGCGGGGCTTGGCGGTGATGAGCTAAGCCGGCTAATTATCCGACAATGCCCGGTAAAACAAGTGACGAGCGTTGATGTACGTGTATTTAGCGCGCTGTCACTCAGTGTGCATGATCTCATCCGTGAGAACCGGTTCAGTGTACGATTAAAATCATATACGATGGGTTGCGGAAGGCCCAGCATCCCGCGTGTGCGCGAGGATCGATCACCTGTCATCATCAGTGAGTAAGGTAAAAATAATCGATGGTCTTCCTCATCTGCCTCGCGCGCTGTAAAGCGTACACTGATCCCTGGTGTGTTTGGATTACGCGTAATACACTCACCCTGCACAGTGCTTTTTTAACCCACATCCTCCCGGAAATTCGATACCTGGGCTTAGTGCACTGCTGTAGCCGGAAAAGCCTAATGCCGATGAGAAAGCCAGCTTCCGCAAAAACATTTCTCCGCGTCGTTCCTTGTGACCACTTCCTGGATGTGTCATACCGCAGTAAAAACGTCACGAGGTGGAAATATACGCTGATGCAAAATGCACTGTCATATCTTCCTAATATATTATTAATTAAATGGGAAATGTTCGTGCGCAGACAGACGAATGTAATAATTCGCACCGGTGCTTTCTCACTAAGCGTGAATGGGTTGTAGTGAAAGGTATCGAGCCGAGCGTAAAATCCCTATTGTATAGTTACAGTAGCAATGTTTGTTTACGTTGAACCGGCAACGTTATTACGGTAGTTTATTTCACCGGCTGGATTTCTCGATGGCGTGTTTATTTACGCCGCCGCAGACGGCGAAGGTAAGTCGTACAAGAGACGAACGGTAAACGCCGTGATAGTGTTGTGGTGCCGGCAAACAACCGGTATGAACCGATGTTCGTTGCGGGCGGCGGTTAACGGCGGAAATAAGTTGATAAATAAACAGTCAGACTGACGCGATCAGGCGGTGATCACGCAGCCGCGTGACGCACCGGAATATACGGCAAGTATTCCCTCGACAACAATTCTGTGCGGTAATAGAGTTAATATTATCTGTTGAAAATACATGGTTGATTTTATTTAGGTAGCGATGATGTCACGCGTTAAAGCAAGATGGTGCATTGACACTGCAGAATATTATAATAGCGCAAGAAAATAACCCGGTACATGATTATGGTACCAAAATTCGTATACATGCAGGAAAAATTTATATCATGACATTCGGTAGTCAAGGTTTGTTTACATGGGCGTGAAAACTGTTTGTGCGAGCAACATCCGGTTCGAGAGTTATGGCTGTAAGAAAATTCCAAAAAGTTTTCAAATGCAATACCGGAAGTACGTACAACCGAAACAAATTCCAATATTTTTGTCCGGTGTATTGTACAGATACGCTTGGATACTAATTCAAAACTGCTTTATCGTTAAACCGCTCATTTCTGTTTAATCACCCAGCGGAAGTTACCGGGAAACCACATCTTCAACTCTGCGAGCCCTTGGTAAAGGATATTTGAGCACCATTAATATAATATGACAAAAATAGGTGGCAATCGGGCTCCAAATCTGTCGGTATACAGAAATTAATTCAAGAAACAGTGTGCTACAGGATACTTCAATAGAGCCAGTGCTCATCAAGTCGACAATCCTGGATGCAAACACAAAAGGGTACTTCGTATGTGGTTTCTTGATACACCAAGGCATCATGTTTTTTGTTGTGCATTGTACGTATGTCACATGACCCGATGTGTCAGATAGATTTACGTAGCATTAACCTTTCTGCCGAATTCCGGGAGAATTAATCACAGGGCTTCTTTCATCGCAATCTGTTCAGCCGCCGACCGTTTTCCCGGCAAGGTGTACTACGTCAAAGCTTAGCTGCCCCTTGTGGGATCGTTCAAGAATGCAGAGATATGTACTGCAACGGCTCGAATAATCTGGAACGGCCTTTCCGTAGGCCAACATACATCCTCTAATTACAATCTCTGTTGTCGCAGAGCATTCCGTATCATACAGGGTAAAATACAGTTACATACATTACTGTTACATATATTTTTGTTACATTACAGTAACAGTTACATACAATACAGTTACATATATTTTAGTTGCATTACAGTTACAGTCACATACATTACAGTTACATATATTTTAGTTGCATTACAGTTACAGTTACATACATTTTAGTTCCATTACAGTTACAGTTACATACATTACAGTTACACATATTTTAGTTACATTACAGTTACAGTTACATACAATATTACAGTTACCACATGCATACAGTGAGTTACGTACAGTTATCAAGTTGCATACAGGCTGTGTGTAAGTTTAGACAGTGCGTTACAGAACGCACTGGAGACTGTACAAGAGAGCATTACAATAACGGCACGATAACGCGGTCCCGGAAGATAAGCCGGCAACACTGTCTGCTTCTCTGCAATGCCGATTTCATGCACTTCTACCATGAGTCGCGAGGTTTCCGCGCCAATCAAAATTTGAAAGATCATATGTACGGATAGTTTCTGCTGCGAAGTGCTACTTCCGTGTTGACTTACTGAACACGACAAATTTTAGTCAACGCGTTACTTTATGTTTCGTGCGGAATTTCTAATCGATTGCTCAGTCCGAACTCACTTAAGCACAAAGCGGCAGAAATGCCTTTTATGCAATGGAATAATGCGGACGTGGAAGTGGATGGACGGCTGCACGTGGGGTACGTCATCGGTCTGGAGGAAATCGAAGCCAGAACTCCGCGTTTTATCATACTGTTAAAAAATACTAAAAAACTTTAAAAAAAATTTAAAAAATACTGTTCTCGCTGGAGCCGATTATGCGGATGTGCAAGTGCTACAACGCGCCCATCACGTACAACCAAAGCAGTGGTATCCGGCGAAGCTGCTCCTGTTCCGACAACATGCTTTTCGGTTCGATGCGCTGATTTGGAGTTTCCTGAACTGCTTGTTGTTTTTTCATAGGTTTATTAGATTTTTCAGGTCTGCAAAACATCGTCAGCAAGTTTTCGGTGTTCACAGAAAGTCGTTAAGTTTGATGTCGTTCAGATTTCGATGTCGTTTCAACAAACTTTCGGGTCATGACTTCGTCGGTCAGCAAAAAGTCGTCAGCAAGTTGTCGGTGTGCCCTCTACACCCTGCGGGTCCGCCCACACCAGGTGTTCCTCAAAGAAACTAAACAGATCCACTGCACCGGAGCTCTGTAACGGGAATGCAACCAAGGGAAACAGGAATTTCATACCAGCAGCATTTATTGGGTCGTTGAATAAAATGGAGAAATTCTTCCAGATTCGCTGATCACAATAAGGCGCCAGCTTGGAGTACACCGTGCAATTGCTGTCGATGTAACCCCAGAAAAAGCAAATCGTATTGCGGTGTGGAAATGCACCGGTCGTACATAATCAAGCGGTCCAGCCGGATGTTGGAGACCTTCAAAACTTTTTTGATATACTTGATTCACTCGCCTGTGACATTTGTGCTTTCCTGTTCCAAACCGGATTTGCAAGCATCATGAGAGTCCCGAATGACGATAGTCCGTGTGGCCAGCGTGATGCGCTTGAAAGCGCAAGCATACGCAGCATAATCGTAATGGCTAAAGTTTTCAACATGATCATAGTGTTCAACTTCCCGTACGCTTTCCTGGGAAATGAGAATCTCATTCCACAGATGACAGACGCGTCGGGAACGCAGCCGCTCGACAGTGTCCAGTGTCTTGCAAATCCCTCTAGAATCTCGGGCAGCACGGCCAAACCAGGTGCATCGGCGCCTGTCACCGGCAGAAAGGTTCAAGGATTAAAGGTTTACGATCAAAAACGCCGCGTAAACCTTTCCGCCGAAATCCGACAGAAAGGTTTTCGATACGTGAACCATCCTGCCGGACTGCGTAAACCTTTCTGCCGGCGGCTTCTTTAAAGCTTAAACCATTCTAAACCTTTCTGCCGGCGGGATTCATTTATCACCCAACGCCACCACAACGGCCTTCAGTCTCCCTGTGCTGCATGCTGTGTAGATAGTTCTTGTACTTACTTGTTAGCGCTAAGTGCTGCCCCTGGCACTGTACGTAGCTGAGTCTAACATAGATATCTCGATGTGGATCTTGAGACTTATATTTACGAAACAGAATTCAAGTGACTGCTAGATGACTTCCAGTGGACTAAACCAGAATAGACCCTCTAGCAGTTGTACGCTGTGCGCTTATATAGCCACATTCGGATAGACATCCAAGAAACTTCTGGAAACTTTCAAAGCCGTAGATCACTCAATAAGAACATCAAAACGGCATAAAACAGATACAGAACAGACCCGAAATCTGTCTATTCAGATCTTATTACATTTTTTTCTATTCTCATTCAACTTAATTTCTCTTTTGTCCGACGTTCTTCGTATTTTAGACTTTTTCACAGTATGGAGTCGCGAACCGAACACCAGGGCACGGTTTTCTCCGCGTTACTGCACATGGCAAAAACTTTCAAAGAATTGGTTAGGTAACAATTAAAGGTTTTGTTTACTTTTGCCTGTACAGTTGATTTGTTTGATCTGAGAAAATGCAAATACAGTCCACGTTATCGCGGCGGTTGGTTTTTTGCTAACGCTTTGCACTCGCCGCCGAAAGATTACTGTACAGTGTACATAAACGATAAATGCGTCGTCAGACGCATTTGTATCTGGCCGAAACGCACCGCTTTAAGGACAGTAACCGCGATTGTTAAACTGAAGATCTCAACCGATAATGCGCTCAGGAAATCATCTACAAAGCGAAAGACACAATTATCGTTCAATCACGTCGATCAAATTACTTTTTCGTACCGTCCGATCAACGTACAGAACGCCGTACAGAATAACCAATGCCGCAGTTACTGTATTTAATAACGCTGCTCGTTTCACCTGTGTAGATGCTTTTGCTGTGCCAGCAGACGGCTGTCCTTTCTGCCTCCATAAAATACGGCGATATTTCATTTTCCCATCATCCCATGTGAATTTTATAGAACTTGTGCATTGGCTGCACTTAATACTGTGGTTAGCGCAACTGCGTTGGGGTGCAGCTTTTAGTTTTTTACGGACTGAGGTGTTTTTCGCAAGGCTTACAAGGCTTTGCTGCTGCCCTACACATCAGGGGTGCCCCACTGTGCACACCACTGGGTCACCTGTCATGTGTTGGCTAAGCACTGGCTGTTCATCCTTCATAACAACCGAATTCAGAGTGAGCATTTGTATCGTCTATAAAGCAGCGGAAACACGTACCGCAGTCGTGTCAGATAAATGCTATAACGAGGGTCAATAACTGGGCAGCGTGCTTTATGGAGGTTACTTGAATCGGCAGGCACCGTCCATGCTTAACAACAGGGGGTGTTGTTTACTTCCTTTCTTCTTATGTTGGCTCACTTTCAGTCAAGGCGAGAGGGGCTTAATTTTCGGGACAAAATGGTCGAGTTATCGTGTGGAAGGTCCTCTTACGCCCTCTCACAGCACTAATGTGGTACTAATATTGCGGAATTTACCGGATAAACGGTAGCGCTGTGTGTGCAAACATTATGCATTTTTGACATGTATTTACGGACAACCGAAACAGATACGCCCTAGTCCTCTTCCAAAACCGAACGTCGTCACCTTCCACTTCATCGGAGGGGCAATAGGGGCGGATTTTCGTTCGGATTGTGTTACCAGCGTTTTGCCGACAAGAACGTTCAACCGGTAAATCGTGAGCCTGGCAAACTTCCTGCCAACTAAATGCGCGCTTTTGCCATTCACTGAAACCAGTGCGATATTACTGCTACTACGGTACATATAAACGCGCCTGCAGTCAGCAGTACTGGCATTGCAAAATTTAATTGTTTCTTATCAGCACTTCCCACTGTTTGTTGTGCTTATCAGTAGATACACTGTTTCCATAAAAATGTGCGATGGCAGAATTCATTATACGTACAATGCACTACTCGTAGCCGAAATACACCAACCAACACTTATCAATCACGCCGTGCTGGGCGTGATTGATAAGTGTATACAGATCCGAGAATCAGTACATCTTACAGCATTTCCACGCAAGGATCGTATGCCAACTGTCCAATACAACTTTAGTACAGAATAAGTTTTTTTATTAAATCTTATTTGTACGCATAAAAGCGTGCTTCGGATTACTAGCGGTATAAGCTGTAGTAACACTGGTTTATTGGAAACCAGGTTCCCTGCGAACATGTCCCAGATCTGAATGACGTTAATGGGATTCATTATTCACACTGAACACCGCCAACGGAAAGCGGAATGCCACGGTTGGAGCTGGTTTATTGTTATGGTGAAAGCTGATGACAAAGTCTCCCCAAACGATGCGCTGGCAGCAAAACACCAATCTGTCGTATAACTCGGAAATGTCGCGGAAGTACTCATGCAGAGTCCCGGTTAATATTGCGGCCCACCAACGCCGCCACAAGATGTCATTTGCTGGATGTGTGCACCGGCATTCGTCAGGATTACTTCAATGTACTTCAGAGCCAAACCGGCACCTGTAAGGCTTTCCGGTGGTTCGGTGCGTCCATCGCCTTCAGCGTAGTCGAAGTAGACGTCCCGCACACAGATGGTGTTAATGGCGGTGCGGATGTGCTTGAAAATGCAACTGCACACCCCGTGGTCGAAATTCGAGTCCTGCTTCGTGCGCTGCGTAACACCGGGCTCCGCCAAGCCGGTGTTGATATCGGTGCGTTGTTGCGGCGACTGGATGATGTCCTTCTACAGTGCTTAAACACGCCGACAGCGCTGTCGGTCGATGGTCCTCAGGGAAAGAAATATTTCAGCCACAAATTCGGGCGGCAATGGTATTGCTTGACGGAGAGATCAGTACGATAGGAATAACTACCGTAAATAACCTATCCTACCGACCTACTCAACGACAGAGTATGAGCTGATAATCTCAATGTGGCATAGCTAAGCCTACGAATCTACGCGAAGTGAGAAATGTATCTCCGATGATAATTTAATTCGTAACTCCAAAAGTGCCAAAACTCAGAATGAGATAACTGATCCTGTAAAATACTGCCACTCACGGACTTACTGTATATAGACACGGCGCATCCGTGTAGAACAACCAAAGTAGATCCGAACACAAAAGAGAAAGATCGAGAAAGTACAGCGAATAACAGAAAGTACAAGTAAAGCCGTCACTTTACGTATGAATCGCTACAGTACTGCTATATCGCGTCATCCTATCGTTTGCATTGTAGTCGACCTTCTTCTTGAGTTCCTCGAGAAAAATTGTGGTTTCTTCTGGATTTTTGCTTTCACAACCGGTCTGCAGCTGTCCAAGCAAATATTATTATTACAGGAAATGCTATGATTGGCGTACAGCACAAACGGGGGGCCACCTTCGCGCTCGAGTAGAAAGTTTTAGCGCATACCTTTCGTTCAGAATCTAACGGAGTAAGCAGAGTGATTTCTTGTACATGGCACAACACTGCTAAAGCTGAATAAAGCTGTTCTCTTTTGAGAACGTCCATTATACCTGATTTAGAACACTGCCGCTTATTTTTATTATACATTAAGGGTGTTCAAATATCCTTTACAAAGGCCTAGTTTTTTTTAACAGCCTTTCCTACAGAAAAGTATGCGTACAATTTTTAAAAAAATTAGGTTAAAGAATTAAATTTTTAACTGACGTATTATCATCGCGCCGAAATGCGGCTTCGACGGGAACAGACATTTAATACTCAAATAAAAATTTCCAGTATAGATGCCACGGGCCTTTGCCAGTCTCCCACGAATCCATGTCCCTTGGCTTGCGCGGTAACAAGTGCCACTGCAACGCAAAGAGCGTCAACTTCCGCAGGGAATTCAACGGAGGATCTGCCAATGGAATATTCGTCAACGGCGAGATGCGATCAACTCGAGCATCACCAGCTTGCCACTGTTTCAGTACCTAACACGCGAAAGGTGACCTTTAATAATGAAAATCATATTTCATAAAAATTCCAAAGCATTAAACGTGTTAGAAAAGTCGACACGGTCACACGATGTACCTAGAAAACCTGAGAGCGAAGAAAATTAATAAAAAATGTAGTAACCTATAGGGTTAAGCACCTGTATCGCAGTATGCTGCGGTAAACCCTTCGCATCCATTGCGGTCTGCAACGCGCGGCAATCCTCATCGCTCATCGGAAGGCATGCGTTTTCTAGCACTTCCAATGCCGATCCCATTTCTCCGGCATCATTCGTGTGTATCTTCCAGCTGTTAACTTTTATCGTGGCCTTGAAGTCCAGGTAATCAAAGCGCATGTCATAAGAGCCGTCGCCCATTCCCTTATCGCGCAAACACCGACACCCTTCTTCATCTAGATAGGCTAACCCATATACGCGCACATCGTCTAACACCAACCGATCGCATACATCGCTCCACTCCGAACGAACTTTAAGATTGAGCTCGGACGAAAACGCCAGCACGTCGTTAGTCCACACATCAAAGTGCGCGATACAGATGGTGTGTATTCGAATGCCCTTCAATTTTAGCAGACCGATGACCGTGGTGAGAGGGTCGCTGGCATTAGAATCCTGAGCTGTACTGAAGAGAATAAGTTTTTTAGTCGTTGCGGTGATATTCCGGTCCAGTGCGCGGGATAGCTCGTCGTTGTAGTACAGCAGCAAATCGATTTGCACGACCGCACAAGCCGGGGCGAATGTGAGGACATTGAGCCAGGATTTACACACTAGGCGGCACTTGACCCTGGTGCGCAGTTCGAGGAATGAAAATATTCTGCCGATTAATTCCACTGGTAAAACTTTATCGATACATGGTAAATGAGCTTCCAGGTTTCCCGATTTCTGACCCTAATGCAAGCACAAACATATAAATAAGTTTTTGTCGCCTACACGTATTAGTACACATATTAGTACGTATTAGTACGTATTAGTCGACACGTATTAGTACACATACTCTTTGGCAAAAATTTAAAAGGAATTTTCTGTCGATGAACCTTCTGCCTGTATCAACGGGAACATTTTCGGAGATACAGTGTGGAAACCGGCTGAGCATCTGACGAGGCGCCGACCTCGTGGCCATCCTTCGAAACACCTTAGCCTAAACCAGATACCATTCAACATGAAGCGTCTGTGCTATACAGTGCACACCCGCTGTATATCTCACCAATTTCCAAAAATCTGACGGAGAAAAATATTCCTTAGAACGGCTGGAAATATAAAACAACCGCCCGTGTTCAACATTTTGTAATATAACATTTGCCGATCGGCCATAAATCCGATTCCACCACCGGAAATCCTCCCTACTCCTTTTTTGTGCAAGAATTTTCAATGGCAGATTAAGCTTGACGCTGTGCAGACGATATCTGTTCAGATCGAGAAGGGGTCTGTCCTCGGCCCGCTGCAGGTCCCATTTTCGTACAACTTCTCGCACCAACTTTCCCTTTCGATACATTTCCACCATGGTAAACGTGTAGAGAGATCCCGCAACAATGGTGGCGGGATACCAGCGCCAAGCATCTTTTTTGGATCCTCTCCAAAGAATCTCGACGGCTTTTTTACAGGCTAAGGGATTGTATTCATTGCCGAAACATCGAGAAAATGACACGAATTCCGCCTCGTGACTACGATAACCGAAATCAACAAGGAAGCCCTTCTCTGGGATTAAAGCGATGACGAGGCCGTGGCGAAAGGAACCGTCCCCGTCACGCACGTCGACCGCCCCATAAGGCCAGACCTGACTGTTTTCAAACATATTTGAAATGACAGTAAATTATAACTATAAAAAAGCCGCGCATGCAGGACACATAATGCGTATAAGAACGGACGCGGAATCACTTAAAGCCAACCGCAAAACTAGAGTGGGCAGGAATAGGATGGGTACAGTAATATAATACGACGGCTGAAACCGTCTAAAAGCCTGGTTATGCAGGCTTCCACTGACTGTTTTATTGAATTCAGTTTCATAATGGAGTATGAACCAACGCGATTATGCAGAATAAAAATGAAGGAGGACTGAGCAAAATATATACAGTATATGTGGTTAAAAGCAGTTTGAGAGAAGCATCGCAAGATTATTTAAGACCGCTGTTTCACCAGCACTAGTTCATCGATATAAGGAGCATGAAAAATCGATACGAGTATTCACATTTACGGATCCAACAGTCTGCTCTCAACAGATGCCGAACTTACACAACAGTATCGCACACGCTGTGCTGTACTTAACGGACTGGAAACGCAGTAGTACGTATTATGCAGTCAATCAAAGGCTTAGTTTTGGCATCTGTTAAATCTTGGTTTAGTTTCATTTTTTAACATCAGTTTTACAATGGGGACAGACAGGTCAGTGACCTTTCCCAAGCGTCACCGTCACGTGTAAAGCCAGCGCAAAAATACGATCATCCTCTGTATACATCATTATAGTGTGTACCTAAAGTCAAAAAATTGTCAATGACGTGAAAATATCCTTTCATTTTTATGAAAACTTCGTGCGATCGAGCACAAAAAGTTTTGGAAAACATAGGTATGTCAGATCGGCCGTAGTACACCGGAAAAATAAAGAATTAGTTTGGCTTACACTTTGAACCACGTACGGAGCCAGACCGCAGCTAACACTTATGTACACTATATGCCAGTGTCAGCGCCATCAACAAACTGATTGCAGTCAGGTATAATTCCCAGGTAGTCACCGGTACCAACTACGTTATATAAGGTCGGTAGCAGTTAATAAGTTAGTTGTTGTGTTGCAAATATTAGTTGTTATTAGTTGTTGCTATGCAAATACAACGGGGAAACGCGATTTGTGTAATGGGTACAATCCCCGATCAGGATAGCATAGAGGAAGTGTTTCTTTTATAAATGTTGGTTTGTCCTAGTACATAGTTTGTACTCGTATCGTGATACTTAAAAAAAAAATAAAAAAGTTAATAAGTATATATATGAACCGGTGTTTGTTTGCGGGTGGCGATTAACGGTCAAAACAGCGGGAAAATGAGCAGCAATACTGACGCGATCAGGCGGTGATCAAGCCGCCGCGTGACACACCGGAATACATGGCAAGTATTCCCTCGACAACATTTCTGTACGGTAACCACCGCTAATATTGTTTATCGAAAATATACAGCTGATTTTATGTACCCATGAATGACATCACGAAGAACGGCGCATTGACACTGTAGCTATTGTAAGTTTTATACTTAACAGCGAAAGGAAAGTGCACCATTAGATGGTACCGAATACCGTATTGCACGTAAACTTTCGCTTTCACGCGTACCTAAAAGCTGTTTGCGTGCGCAGCTTCCGATTTGGGAAGATTTAGTTGCAGGAAAACTCCAAAACGTTTAAACGCAATCAGGTGCACCAAAAAGTCTCGAAGATATGCCTCGATCTTCTTTTCTTTTTGTACATAAACGCGCACAGTAAGCCCCGAACTGCGTACCGAGGATCTTCTTCAGATTTTAAAACGAATTTCAAACATTTTAAGTTGCGAGTTCGAAAAGATGGTGCATTTCCGGGACGGAGTAAAACAACCTCCGGACTGATGTGCGGTTGTAAGGAAAACTTAAAGAAGATCGATACGAGTCCATAAGGAGTCTACTTGTATCGGCAAATACATATACTGTACTGTAATACATGTAAGTACACATGTACACATATATGTACTGTAAATACATGTATACACAAGATTGGTGTTCATGCAGTACACGTATGTACGGATACAAGTAATTATACGGGGTTGCTTGCCTTAATAGGGCGTCCTTGCCGGCCTTTGCGCAGTCGAAGCGCCTGAGAAATGTCCACGGCGACGTAGACGAAGACCGGGTTAGTGAGTTAGCTTTCTTGTATCCACTGCGGCCAGCGCAGTTAGCCAAACTCGCAGCTGCCGTACAGCGCCCGCACCCACGGCATCCGGTGGCCGGGAAGCGCCATGTCAAAAAGGTCAGCGAAAGAAGCCGAAGGATGCCAAGATGTGTTGAACCGCTGCAGCCACCAGAGTGGTGGCGCCGTGGGACGCCGGCGCAACCTTCACGTGGCACGCTTCCCCAAAGGTATCTCGATGGTAGAATTAGCTGGGAGAACCGACGCGCTAGTGGCTGACTAAAGCCATTACGATATTTACAATGTCGAACCATTGGTTTTCGAATACATTTCGGAAAGCCAACGATGGGGCGGTAATAAGACCACGCAATACATCTTATCGTCATAGCTGCCATCGACTGAATCGACTCATTTAGTGCCGGTTTTCAGTTTGGATAATCAACGACGCAAGCGGACCCCGCAAGGGAGCAGGGTGCGGACGGCCGGGTTACCTGTTCCGTACCCGGCAGAATTACCGAATTAGCGGGCTCGCTGTTTATCGTGGGCCTTGAGGTACCACTGCTCCGGCACTAAATGTGCGGATCTCTACAACATTGACCACTACACTATACTGATACTGCTATGACTGATGCATTGCACGTAACCCGGTTATCATGCGCCGAGAGTTTAATCTGTACGGTACATATTACTTTGCTTGTTGTAAAAATTAATATAATTGAGAGATTATCACCGACAGCTGACAAGTAAGACGATCCAGATACTAGAAACTGTTTGCTGTATGGACAGATAATGTAAACATCAGCATTAACAAAGAGTTTACTCAGCAAAATTGGCGTGACACAGTACAGGAAGCCCGTGCACACTCGTGGTATGTCAATATCCATGGATGCAAAGCGACCTCGCGATGTCACGCTGCACCCGTAATGCCGCTGCTAAACGCATGTTCTCTCGGATTCCACTCGCCGACATTCCGCGTTAACGTGGGCTCACTGCAGTTACCTGTTGGTTAATGCCTTTCTGAAGTCGTTCATCCTTACCTCATATTCCTCGAGAGGATGCGTGGTATCACTATACGAAACCGTGGTTGGCGACCAGCGCTTCTCAATTATAGCCTAGCCGTGCCTGTATTTATTTTTGTCCGAAATGTACTCTTTTGCGGATCCGCAGACCTAAAGGCGCACAATTCGGATAAAAATAAAACCGAGCAGGATAAAACCGCTTCTGGGCAGTTATGTTCTCTCTCGTGCAATTAGGATTCGGCTTGGATATGCTTGGGTATTCGACTCGTACTCCATGTCTGGTTTAATTGCAACGTCACAGTCACAACGAAGGTAAGACGCACAACAAACAATCTTCGAACGCCATTCAAATTCATGTCAGCTTTATTTGAAAGTGCGTACTAGTATTTAATAAAATTCGAGAACGATAGTGTTGTGTCACTTGTCGCAGTCTGCATGCACTAAGAATAACTTCGTTGCCAATTACATACAGTGTTTCGGTTCTGTTTCGTTTTGCGTTTAATTCATATTTCGATAAAAGAATGAAATGTTTACAAAATTAGTAAAATGAAAATAAATTCAAAGATATACCGAAAATGTATAAAGATTAATAATAACCAAAAAAAGGAAACAGATAGTCATCAGTGAAATCTGTGTGCCATTGCATCAATTTGCATGTTCTGTATCGGTGTGTAAGAGTCTGGACGAAGCTAAAGAATTTGTTAAAAAAACTAAGAAGCTTATGTGAAGCGGAAACGAATCGTTTGGCTGTGGACCTTGTCTGACTCGTATCCGCATCTGTTCGGGTGAGAATAAAACAGATGTGTCGTGATTTCCCTATACGCAATTATTAAGTTTGAGCGATGCTTGCTGGCACAAAGTAGAAGTACAGACACTCAGTTGGGCAACTAGAATGTATTTAACAGCGAGCTTATAATAATATCACTTTAGCACACAATAATTTAGGCGTTCTCCTTATTTCGTTGCTTCAGAATGTCACGAGAACTACAGCCGGGATAGACATTTGAAATTCAAATAAAAATCTCCAATATAAATGCCATGGTCCTTTGCCAGTCTCCTACGAATGCATGTCCCTTGGCTTGGACGGTAGCAAGTGCCACTGCAACGCAAAGAGCGTCAACTTCCGCAGGGAATCCAACGGAAGATCTGCCAGCGGAATCCTCGTCAGTGGCGAGATGCGGTCAGCTGGAGCATCACCGGTTTGCCACTGCCCTAGCGCCTAATAGGCAAAATGCGACCTTCAGTATTGGCAACAAACATGCTTCATAAAAGCTCCAGAGCATCAAAGATACTTGTAGCAAGTTGACAACATGTAACATAAACCATAACTCGGCACACGCCGGATTCGGTGTATTCTTTGGGTACGTTCACTACGTTGGATTGAGCACCTGTATCGTGGTATGTTGCGGTAAAACATTCGCATCCAGAGCGGTCTGCAACGCTCGCAAATCCTATTCGCTCATTGGCAGACATGCATCTTCCAGCACTTGTAACGCTGATCCCATTTCTCCAGCATCGCTCGTGTGTATCGTCCATCTACCGACTTTTATCGTGGCTTTGAAGTCCAGTTTGTACGCTGCTAGTAAGGGTTCTGGTAAACAAGTATGGCCGCTGGAAGTCGCATTTAATTAACTTAATTTACAGTGAGACTATAGGCGGGGGCCCCTTTCACCCCGTTTGCTATACGCACTCCTCTTTACACCATGTTGTTACTACAGGCAACCCTTTTCCATTTGATATTTCTCGCACCCCGAGTTTTCCGCTGACAATGGGCTCCCATTTTCATTTTTTATCTCAGAGTACTGACAAAAATTGTTTGACAGTTTTTTTTGTCACACAAAGATTGTTTTGACGATTGATTAGGTCCCGCATTTACATAAAATTAGTGTACTGGTCACTCCATCCGCCAATGGGGCGGTTTGGCTGGTCAGCCAGCGTAGATCGAATGCGCACGGCATCTTCCACGCGCACGAAAATATCGCCTTCCTGGACGATTTGCTAGTTCGCTGGTATGCGTTCGGTGCGTTTTGGGAATCTCAACTGGTTTTCAGTTTCTAGCACCTCTGCTAGCCATGCACGCTGCGTGGAAGCTGCACACCTGGAACTTAATGTCCACATGGCGCGTTTCCCGTCCGTAAAGCATGGATACTCGTAGTTGAAGGATGTTCTCGGGAAGTACGGCCTCTCTCGGT